TCGTCAGACTCGAGTACGCCAGAATTGGGGTTCGCCCACCCTTTTTGACGATCTCGCCCCGGATTTTCACGGTCCAGTTCTCGTTGGACGTTTGCAGCGGGAGCTCGCGTCAAATCTCAGAGTGGGTCTCGTCATTACATGACGGCCCCGTCAGGCCAACCCGAGTCCCCCGAACCCGGTCGGGCATTTTTTTCTGCAGGCGTTTTTTTGGGGGGGAAATATGAAACCGTAGTCAAATACTAGTCAAACATAGTCGAACGAGCACGAAACATTGTCACCGACTATGTTTTTACTGCTCTTGAATTATACTCCTCCTGTAGAGGGACATGCCCGACTTCAGTCGCACATCGCCTCGACACTGGCTCAGCAGGAAGCGCGAGTCCTGAGGGTCAGCAGCCAGGGGCCAGGACCCGTTCCCGCCAGGAGTGTGGACGACGATCGATGGAGAGGAAGCACGTTGCCAAAGCATTTCCAGATGTCTAAGAAATGTGCGACAGACAAGCATGTTTCAAACACTTTTTCAGAACATGCTTCAAACATTTTAGATGCATCTCCAATTCGATGATCGGATTGTTACGGCGCTCATTGTCATGGCATCCACAGCGCCAGGACGCCTTCTCCCTCGCGCCAAGCGCACGGGGGGCAGGGCGACGGGGGCCCATGGGGGCCCTCTGGAAGCGGGCCACCGCCCGCCTCGCCTTCGGCAGCCCCTGCCTGCGCGCGGGCGGGAGGGCTCGGGGGCTGCGCGTTGGAGCTTCGGCCTGGGTCGGCGGGGTCGCTTAAGCGTCTGCTGTTCGGCGCGGTACCAAGTGGTACCGCGCCGGACAACAGACGCACGGCATCTAACATTCGCTCGTCAGCCCTCTTGGCCCTCCCAGCCAGGCCGTCACTTCGAATGGTATGACTCCTTCTCTGAGACTGCCAGGGTCGATGATCGTCAGGACGTGTGTTAGCCCAAGCGTGTGCTTACCTCGTTCGGCTCCGTCGATAGCGCGCAGCGCGCGCAGCCCGTGCCGGCCCTCGTTGCGCCGCCTGGGTTGTATCGAAGGGCCTCGGTGGGCAAGCACAAACTGGCGCTAACACGCGTTCTGAGGATCACCGATCCCAGAGATCCGATGTCGTGTTTTTTTCACTACGGGGTTCCCAGAAGTCTCGACCCATTTCCCAGGACCGGTTTTTCATCCTGAGTCGTTGTTTGACAGTCCCGGGGCCTGGCGAGTGCCGCTGGAGGCCGAAAATGTAGAAAAACCTCCGTCTTGATTTTGTCGATATGTTGGATCTCTGGGATCGAGGGGCTGCCCAGACGGCAGGAGGGCCTCCAGGAGGCGGGTGCCTTCGTACAAGGCCGCGGCCCTCGCCCCGCCCACTCGCCCGCACGGCCACCGCCCGCCTCGCCCTCGCCCGCCACCGCCACCGCACCGCCACCGCCCTCGCTCGCCCGCCTCGCCCTCGTCCACTCGCCCGCTCGCCCGCACCGCCCTCCCAGCCAGGCCCTCGCCCCGCCCGCAAGGCCTTGAGTGGATGCCATGACAATGGACACCCTAACAATCCGATCATTGAATTAAAGATGTATCTCAAATGTTTGAAGCCTGTTCTCGAATGTTTGGAACCTGTTCGCTTGCATGTTCAAGGCATATTTAAAACAGTTTCGAGACATCTGGAAATTATTTTGCAACATGCTTCCTCTCCATCGATCATCGTCCACAAGCTTTGAGCCCACTTTTTCTGGCGGGTCGGTCTTCGCCGTGGCCAGTGTGGCCCGCGCAGCTGGCTCGCGTCGCGGCCACGCGCCGCCGCACTGTGCCTTCGATCTGTTTCGGTTGCGGCTTGGAGCCTCCGTCACAAAAAAGTGCACAGACGCCCTCCAATGGATTGTTCTTGGCCTCAAGGGAGGGTGGCGGTGTATATATCAATGACGAGTGAGAGCCAGCGATCTTATACACCGCCGCCCTCCCTGAAGGTGCAGGCAAAATTCGTCGGCGGGCGTCTGTGTATATATATATATATATATATGTATTTGTTTTTTTGTTTTTCGTGGCGTGGAGCCGGCTGGAGGTCTGAGGTGGTCCAGCACCGTCTCCGGCCAGCAGGAAGGGCGGGCAGGTTCGAGGCTCTGGCTCCGGGAAGGTTTTTTTTGTTGCCCGTTTCGGCCTCCGGGGACCGTTTTCGGGCCCCGGGACGGTGAAAAACGGATATGGGGTGATCTAGGCCTCCTAGATGGGGTCGGAGTAGATGGGGTCGGATGATCGCGCCGCATCGCCGATGCATCACCGATGCAGCTCGATGTGGAGCCCGATTTCCGTCCCGTCGACGTCGCCGAGGCATCGCCCACGTCGACGCCTCATCGCCGCTGCATCGCCGATGCATCGCTGATGCATCGCCGATGTATCGCCGATGTATCGGCGATGCGGCTCGGTCCATCGACCCCACCTACTCCGACCCCATCTAGGAGCCCTCTAGGTGAAAAACTGTGCTAGATGGACCGATTTCGAAAAAGGCCACCATCCTGACCGATTTTCTGAGGTGAACCAGTTCCGCCCTCCAGCCGCCTCCAAGCCACATTCTGCTCTCGATCTGTGCGGTTGCGGTGGTGTCCGTAGGCAGCGGGACGCTGGTAAGCCCAGACATGCGACATCCAGATGTTTTCAAGAACGGCGTCCCCAGAAGTCCCGACCCTTTCCCCGGGACTGGTTTTTCATTCTGCGTCGGTTTGTTGACGGCCCCAGGGCCCAGCGAGGGCCTCCAGAGGCCGAAAACGGAGGAACACCTTCGTCCTGATGTTTTTTATAGGTACCTTTGGGGCTCAGGAGGGGTTCTGGTTTCCGGGCCGTTCTGTCGATGTTTAGGAGCCTCTATTCGCGGCCGAGGGACGCCGGGGCCAGAAAAACGCCTGTTCTGTGTTAGCGCGATGACTGTGCTGCAGCTTGCCCTGCCACCCTCTTCCCCCTTCTTCCATTCCCCTTCCTCCCATCTCTTCCTCCCTGCCTCCCTGCTTCCCTCCCTTCCTTCACCCCGCAATCCCAACACAACTCCTTCTGCTCCCCCTCCCCTTGCATACACCTTTCGCGTCCCGGATCCAGTTTGGATGGTCCCGGGGCCCGACAGCGGCTTCCAGAAGCCGAACTCGACGAAAAGCGCTAGGATTTAAAGTATCATGTCGTCGAAGATCTGGGGCGTGGATCGTTCGATCCCCAAGCCTAGGCCTCCCAGATGGGGTCGGAGTAGATGGGGTCGGAGGATTGCGCCACATCGCCGATGCATCGCCGATGCAGCTCGACGTGGAGCCCGATTTGCTTCACGTCGACGTCACCGATGCATCGCCGACGTCCACAATGCGTTGCTGGTGCATCCCCGATGCATCACCGATGCATCGGCGATGCGGCGCGATCCTCCGACCCCATCTACGCCAGCCCCATCTAGGAGGCCTCTACCAAATCTGCCAGGCAGGAATTCTCGCTTACCGGCCTCTTCAGGAGTGGTTCTCGACGGTGCACGTGGCCATCGAGGCCCTGGCAGGGAGGGGCCTGGCTGCGTCGGTGGACGCCCAGCGCACCGTGGCTAGAGGGGCCGATGGCGCCGGTCATGCGCCGGGGGGAGCGAGGAGGAGCAGCAACAGCAGCAGCAGCAGGAGGAGGACGAGGAGACCCAGGAAGACGAGGCGGACGAGGAGGAGGACGAGGAGGAGGACGAGGAGGGCGAGGAGGACGAGGAGGAGGACGAGGAGGAGGAGGAGGAGGACGAGGAGGAGGACGAGGTGGAGGAGGACGAGGAAGAGTACGAGGACGATCGGGCCACTGCTCAGACCGCCGGTCTGACCGATCTCTTGTGGTCGACCGAGATCCAGGCGGCTCTGGCGGTCGATCGGGCCCTCGACCGTCGGGGCGGTCCGCGCTCTGCGCGGCCGCGCACGTCGGGCGGCGAGATCTGTGCCATGAAGCTGGATGCACACGGCTTGGCTGGCCTGGGCCAGAGATGGGTACACATCTGGCCAGCTGTCTCTTTCTGGCGCTCGGCCCTGCTGCAGAAGTGTAGCCTAGGGCTTCCACACGTGTGTACCCAGCGCGTGGCCTCCGAGGGTCCCACACCTGTGAACCCAGCCATGTTTGTGTGCATGTGTGTGTGTGTTCCAGCCTCCTGGTTGCCCAACACTGTGCCGCATGTGCCGCCGCTGCTGTGAGCGCTCGAGTCCGCTCCCCCCTCCCCTCCTCCTCGTCCTATTCCTTCCCCTCCTTACCTTTCCCCCTTGTCACCGACACGGTTCGCGGGTGAAGTCGCATCGCTCAGGGCTCCTGTCCTGTGCCACGCGCTGACCACACAGACGAGAGCATCGGCAGGTTCATCGTCGCGGAAAAACATGGGAATCCAGCCGTGTGTGTTTCCAGCTTCATGGTGCATATCCACTGCTGTTGGCCAGGCCCATCCAGGGCCCAGGAGAGGTGGTCACGCCCCCCTCCCTGGCTCGGGCCAGCATAGGGCGTTCCAGAAAGGGCCTGGAGTTTCCTGCTGAAGAATTTGCGGAAGGTCGGCGGAAGTAAAACGGGGACAGCTCTGCCGGCGGAAGTGCGCCACACGTAAAAGTCTGCCCTCCGAGGGATGTTTTTAAACATATATTCAGGGTGTCTAGAACGGTCCGCATGTCTTGGACCAGGCTGGATCGATGGAGCTTGTGCTCCTGAGGTCACGAGGAGCGCTCCGCCTGGCACAGCCGTCTAGCCGAGGAGGTTCAGGGCATCGCGGAGACCATTGAGAGCATGGTGGCCGTACTCCGGCGCATGAAAGAGCGGTGCGACCCTTACATCTATTACATGCGCGTGCGGGTCTTCATGAAGGGCTGGACGGCGGATGAGCTGCCCGATGGCATGGAGTACAGCGGTGTGCCTTCGGCTGGCGCCGGCAGCAAGGATAGTCCGTGGCGCCGCGAGCGCTTTTACGGAGAGACCGGCGCGCAGTCCAGCGTCGTGCCTGCCTTCGACGCCGCCCTGGGCCTGGCCATGTCGGAG